CCGCGCGCCCACCATGGCCGCCCAGGGCGAGCCCGGCTACCTGGCAGCGCCGTCGGACCCCGGCTCCAACAGCGAGCGCAGCGCCGACTCGCCCGTGCCCGGCTCCGAGGACGACCTGGGCGCCGGCGCGCCGCTGCTCAGCCCCGAGTGGAGCGAGGAGCGCTTCCGCGTGGACCGAAAGAAGCTCGAGGCCATGCTGCAAGGTAGGCGCCGCCGCCCGCCCGCCCGCCTGCGCGCCGAGGCCGGGAGTTCGGACCCGGGCTCCGACTGAGGCTCCGGGGTGCCCCTTTCGCCCGGACCCGGGCCGTTTCCCTGGGCGCGCGCAGACCGCCCCCTCCAGCCCGGTCCCTCGCGTGTGGCGCTCGCTGCCTGTCGGCGCCGCGTCCGCCCGCGGGGGCCGGGATGAGCGCCCCAGCCCTGCCCGGGCCTGAGCGCGGCCGGCGGGTCCCATCCCCGACAGGCGTGCAGAGTACATTGCGGGTCCCGCAGGGTTTAGGAAAGCTTCCTGAGCCGGGGCGTCTTTGTCTCTCGTAGTTTGGGATCTTTCTGTAAACTTTTTACGGTTGCTCGGGGACTTTGCTGGGCAGGACAGCTTTAGCCACGTTGGTCTGGAAACGGAGTGAGATTTATAATCTGACGATTGCAGTGAACGCTCGCGAGCTCCTTTTTACCTTCCTTAAAAAGGTTAATTACCGGTCTACCTGTGGTCGTCAGTGAGGTTGGATTCCACATCCGTTAAAGTCTGGAGACTAGGCGGTGTGACCGGCTGTCATCCCCGAGGCTTGTGAAGGGCCGGCGTTGGGCTCGGGAAGGGAGGGCGCTGAGGACTCATTCAGTAGCTGGTGGCCTTTATCGCGGGAGGACTGGAGTTTTCCAAACTTGTTTTTGCTTTGTGGCTTTTCACATAGTTTATTTAGACTTTTATCAGTCAATATCTCGCAGGATGGGAGAGAGTTCGCCTTCCGTGGCAATGCAGTGGCGTTTTAGAACAATTAAGCAGGTTATTTTAAGAGAGAACAACATGTTTTCCAAAACAATAACTCGGTGGAAACAAATAGCAGGAGTGTTTGGCAAGGGTTTTTGGACGTGCTGCAATCTTGTCTCCCCTGTTGCTTATTTTTATTGATAAACATTCCTAATGCCTGTCCTGTATCTATTTCCCCCTCCAATTATGCAACTTCTAGGAGAAATATTTCTGTGATAAACTTTTCAAATAAAAATATTGCAAAACGGGTTTGAAAACTAACGCCCATGCTGAGTTTCTGTAACTAATTTTACTTATTTATTCCTTGCTTTTTGCTGGTTTCTGATTATAAAACAAATGTCAGCTTTATGTGGGAGATTGGATTGAACTGGTTAAGATAACATACTCTTCTTTTTCCGCAGATTTCCAGTTTGTCTTCTATGTGAGTTTGAAGTGTTGTGGAGGATTAATAATTTTTTTTTTCCATTTTATGTATTTGGTACAGGGTCTCACTACGCAGCTCCGACCCGTAGTGATGCTTCAGTTTTCCAGCTTCCCCAACTCTGGGATTACAGGCATGTGCCATCTCACAGGTCCCTGGGGGTGGGCCTGCGAGCTATGTGGATCGGGGATTGAACCCTGGTTCCTGAGCTTGCCAAAAAAGGCACTTAGTCTGCTGAGCTATCCTGATTGCCCAGGATTAATAACTTTTTTAAAAAATAGGATTTTAAAATGACATGCATCTTTACCCGTACGCCTTTAATGGCAGTAAATCCCATAGGTATAGTGACTAGGAACACCATATGTGTAACCTGGGCTGTAGAAGTGTTATTTATTTATTTATTTATTGATTGATTGGCAGAACCAGGGGTTGAACTCAGGCCCTTGTGCTTACCAGGGAAGCACTTATTCCACTGAGCCATCTCCCCAGCCCCTAGAAGTGCTTTTTAAAAGTCACACATTTTCATTTTGCCTACACTGAAATATGAGTGAAACATTTTTAACCTTTGACCTTTTTTTTTTTTTTTTTTTGGTCTTTTTAAGATTTTGAGACAGGGTCTCGCTACGCAGTTCAGGTTGCCTTGAGCTCACGTTGTACCCCAGGCTCCTCTTGAACTTGCACGGATCCTTCTGCCTCCGCCTCTTGAGTGCTGGCATTCCAGCCATGTGCCATCACACCTGGTTAGGCTCTTTTATAGATAAGGAAATTCAGACATCAGATGGTTGGAAAATTGCTTTGCAGTCTTAACGTTGGTAAAGTTTCTCTTACAGACAGTCTTCACAGTTAGCACTTACTCAGCAGCCTGTACCTAGTGAAATATTTAGTTAGTGTTGGACACAGTACTTTTACCTTTCTGAGAAGTAGGCTTTGAACACATTTGACAATAGGACCCAGGGCGGCACCAGATCATTTTAGACTCTGTTTTCAACTCCCATATTTGAAAGAATGGGATCAGTTTTCCAAACCAAATGTAATCATGTGCCGTGATGCTTAATACTACATGGTCACAGAAAAGTGAGTACTAGAGTCAGGCAGACCTGGTTTTAAACCTCCCTGGGACCCTGGGAAGGTTCCTGGGCCTTGCCTTACCCTGAGTTTTCCCATCTGCAAAGTAGGACTATTATCAGGCACTTTTTCTTAGGGTTTTAGTAAGCATGAAAAGAGATAATGCTTAATGAGCTAAATTGATAAAAAATAGCTTCATAAGTATCACTTTTTTTTTCCATTTATGTATTTGGCACAGGGTCTCACTACATAGCTCGGACTCAGTGATTTCAGCCTCCCCAGTGCTGGGATTACAGGTGTGTGCCACCACACCTGGACATGGTTGCTGGCTCAGGGTGCCCTGGGAGCAGGGCCGGTATAGCATGTGGGACCCGGAATCCACACCAGTCCCCTGTGCTTGCCAAAGCAGGCCCTTAGTATCTCGCCAGCCCTCATTTTCTTTTATTATTAAAGGCTTTTTTGTTGTTGTTGTTGATATTTAGGGCCTTACTTTAAAGCCCAGGGTGGCCTTGAATTTACTATGTAGCCTAGTCTGAACTCAAATTTGAAGTGATCTTCCTGCCTCAGCCTCCAGAATATTGGAGGCATACACCCCCATACTGATTATTATAGACATACACCACCACACTGATTATTAAAGTCTTACATCAGCGATTCAAGTGATTACCAGTGTGTACCATGACTTATGAGATATAAAATATACTTAATAAATGGATTGGGGAGCAGAGGGATTTTGCAAGCTCATAATTAGAAAGGTAAAATAGCTAAAAACCAAGATAGAAAAATCTGATAAGTCAAATATTGTTAGATATTTTGGGGTGGAAAACTTCATTTGAAAAAGATCAAGTAAAGGATGTATTTGGTTAGGTTTCTAATTATTGTACATTTGGATTAGAAATTTATCTTTTTACAGTAGTCTCAAAATACTATACGTGGTTTTCCAGTTGAAATAAGGACAAGTAAGATAGTTGTCCTTTAAGTCTTAGAAGTGCAAATTGGTGATTATAATGCTTGGAATTTGTTTTCAGAGAGACTGTCCTACGGGCAAGTTAATCTTTAATGTCTAATGTTTTAATGTTGTATTTTTATTAGTAGAGAAATTCTTCTATGCAGTGGACCAAAAATTCAGTGAGGTTAAACTATGGGCAGTAGGGTAGTAGTCAGAGAAGCAAAATACCACTCTTGGATGGTCACGGAATTCTACAATAATTGGTATATACCATAAAAACCACCAGACCAAGAATGTGGGGAAAATCACCAGTTTTTGTCTGAGATTTCTTTTTCTCTTCTGTTTGTTTAATAACTACTTTAGAACAAACATGAATACTGTCTGACATTTTTTGTTGAACCCTAAGTGACAATTATTGATTTTAGTCAATGATTTTTAAAGTGGAAATTTATTTTTGAGTTTAGATTTCTGAAGTCTATTGTCAACCTTGAAATAAATACCACGGACAGCATTTTTTAGTGATGAAATCATTTCAAACTTTAACGTTGAGCTTCAGAATTCACACTTCATACTTCGTGTGAGAGAACAGTGTTGACTCATTTAAGTTGATTAAAAGGGAGAGTGTCACCCAAGAAAGTTGGGAGGAAGCAGGAAATAGTTGGGTGAAGAGAGCTGGAGATAGTCTTGGTGGTGGCAACAGTACCAAGAGATAAACACAGGATTCCTATATTAATACTTTCCTTTTTTCATCAAAAGTATAGATATGTACCATCAAATTAAGAATTTTAGCATAAACCTATCTTTTTGAGACAGGGACTCACTATGTACTTCAGGTTGGTCTTGAGCTCACTTTGTACCCAAGGCTGGTCTTGAACTCACTATGGTCCTCCTCCCTCAGCCTCCTGAGTGCTAAGGTTACAGGCGTGTGCCACTACACCTGGTTGTAACATAAACTTTAACAATTCTTTTTTTGTGTACCCGGAGTCAAACTCAGGACCTTGTGCTTTCCAGGCTGGCACTTGTGCCACTGATCTATATCCCCAGCAACCTAGACTTTAGATACAAACATTTTCAAGCTTCTGAAGCTTTTGTTTGTACAAAGAGAAAAGTATAGGGTTAGGGAAAAATGGCCTGGTTAGCATGAAGGGAGACTGACATCTGGTGGGCTTTCACATACTGCTTTAGTAAATGTGGAAGACTTTAGTAAACATTGCATTTTTACAGTGTCAGGCAGAACCTGGGTCATGTACTGGTGCTTGCCTGAGTCACAGAACTGGTCTACAAAGCAGCGGTGGTCATACATCATTAATAAAAAGTATGTGCAGCAATCATGGTATCTCTTTAATTAACACACTTTCATGATGTTTGTCTTATGATGTGGTAAAGGTCATATATTTTAGGTATGATTGTGGGAGAGAAAAGAAATAAGCACAAAACACTTGAAAACAAGGCAGTAGTGGAAGTAAAGATAGAGTGTAGCTGAAGTGCGTAGAGCTTTCTGAGGCGAATGCCTGGCCCAGGGTAGCAGACAGTAAGAGCAAAGCAAACAGCTTCATGAAGCTTAGTGATTTAAGTGCGCAGGGCTCTGGGCCAGATCTACATTTGAATCTTCAAGTGATCTTTGAATAAGGAGATAGAGAAAATTTATTGTGTGTACCCCTATTTCTAAAAATGGGTATTAGCAGTTCTTCCTTCTAGAGGTGATTGTGACAGTTATAAGTAAAATATCACATTGAAGGCCACATAGAAAATATGAAGTACGTTAATTATGACCATTATAAAG